GGTAAAAATGCAGCAGTTCCTTTAATTTTGTGATGAATTGAAAATCCTGCACCACAGAAAGAAAAAACTTTCTTCTTCATTTCTTTGTCAGCTCTAAAACTTGTCTTTGTTTCAGGATCCAAAGAAAGGCTGCAGGAAGGCACCGCGGGGTTATGACGAGGACAGCACAAAAGTCTGGATTCTCTGCTGAGCCCCTGCCAGAAACCAAACGAGGACATTTCAGAGCAAATCCTCAGAGGGTCCCCAAGAGCGCTTCCTCCTCTAGACCCCAATGACACCTTCCTAATTGGCCCCAGTGAGAACTCCTAACGAGCCCTCTAGTGATTACATGAATAGAGTATTACTAATCATTTGAGAGTTTCCAAATCCAAAAACCAAATTTGATTCAAATGGATGACTAATGCATGTCATTGTATTTCATCTCGGGGGCTTTGAGAACATTTTTGACACCATGGTGTCTACAGAGGAGCGCCTATGTCACGTCTGCTTCCGGCATTTTTTAATTTATTTATTTATTTAATTTTTTTGCCATCTTCAGATTATTCATGTTGAAGATATTTGTGCGAAAATGTTGAGTTGACAGAAAAAATCGTTTGGCAGCAACTTTAAAGGGTTGTTCACAGCACCTGAAAGATTTATAGACTCACAGCAGACGTTCTGACAGCTACAGTGAACAGTATTGATCATCTCTCTGTTCCTTTGGGTACTAGAGGAAGACAGCAGTTCATAAATTTGGGGTCAAATATTAGATTTGTGTTGGGAACAAATACTCTTTAGTAGGTTGTGCATTGTAGTCTTCAGATAGGCAATCGCTTTGTTTAAAGGTGACCAATTGTGCTTATTTCCAGCCTAATATTTTTATTCATGAACTCCACTAGAGTGGCTTTGCATGATTCACAGGTAGCAGATATCCTTATTTGTCTTTTGCTGAGGCTTGGTGCAGCTCCTCAGTCCATCCATTGTCTGAAATAAGATACTTTAGCTCCTCTTTTGTACACTTTGTGACCACTTTGACTGAAATTTCAGGACCACAGATCCTGAAACATATTCTTAAAGTGTGACTGCTGTCACATGCCTTAAAGTTGGCGAGCTAATAGATACACAGCAGCTTGTTTCACGTTTGCTGACATTGGCAGCTCTTTTCCTGCATAAGCTTTATAAACATCTATGAAACAGAATAAAATATACTTCAATCTTACTCTCAGATTTGAAACATAGCTTGGAGTTTTGTTCTGCTTATTTCCAGTTCAATTTTTTGTTGTTTGACTCTACCAGCATGGCTTTGCATGATTAACAGTTAAAGGTTTTCCTTATTATCTGATACTACATCTTGGCGTAGCACCTCGCTCTCGTTCACTAGCTGAAATGAGCTGTTTTAGTCAACTTTCTCCTGATTGGCTGCCCCTCATAAAACAGGTTTCAAGCAGAAAGTGGGTGGGGCTTCTGTGAGAAGACCATATTAGGGATATTACCATTCTTTTAAAGCCAAGCGTAGATAAAACAGTTAGAGCAGTGTGAAGCCTTAACTTTTGTCTGTGCCACAGTATTTATGACAGAAAACGAGAAAAATTATAATAGATCCACTTGATGATGTTAGGAAGTAAACATGTGGTAGATAAGCTTTTTCAGAGCAGACACTTTGGAAAAGCACCCTTGTATGTGCTGTGCTGTATGGCTCAGTGTTACATTTAATGGGAAATAAGCATTGCTTGTGTTTTTCCTGCTGCTGTTATAAATCTTTGTCTTTTGTGGAAAAAACAGTATTTCCCCTTTTCCACAAAGACAATGCTGGTGCCCAGTGTAGTGCAGACTAGTCCCAAGTGACAAAAGCTGAGGCCAGCACTACGCTTCAGAGATCCCTGGCACGGTGTTTTAGGCACTCAGGTCAGTGACCATGAGAAGGACTATCACAACAACCAGCAGGCAGTCGTCAGATTCTCTCTGTCATCATTTTTCTTCCCACAGTATTTCTTAACTTCTCGCAACTCAGCATAATCGCCACTAAAACCAGTTGAGAGGTGGGCCGGTTCTCTGGAAGCTCTCTGTGTGGGTGGAAAAGAGGTGCATTAGGACACCCAGCTGAAACACACCTGTTCGTTCATCCCCTTTGTGATTCGCCACCTCTTGTATTCACACATATTAAACCCTGCTTGTGTGATATGAGTAGTATTTTGTTCGTCTTCATATCAATGGCTGATACTTGAAGTGTTACTCTTCGTGTTGCCTTAAATATTTGTAGCTAAAACCTTTTGCAAATTTTGTATTGTTGTGGATTTTTGATTTGTTTTAAATGTTATTTATTTGTTCGTGTTTGATAATAATAAACTTATTTACACTGAGTTGTTGATGTGACGTGTGAAATTGAGGGAAAGTACAGACTCCCACCGGCAGGGGGCGGTGTTCCCGGCTCCCGCCCGGTTTCTTTTTTAACTTCCGCTTCCGGTTGTATCTGGTGCTATGAGCTTTGTTTTGAATAAACGTCTTCTCGTCAGCTGATTGAAAACAGGATGGCGGAAGAGCAGGACGCCGGTGTTTCTTCTCGGACTCAAAGGAAAGCTTTGAGTAAGGCTAAAATACTACAGCGGGAGAGCGAGAGGGAGGTCTTCAGACTGGTGAGAGGGGGAAAACATGCACATTTACAGCTAGCAGGCTAGACTAGCTCATGTTTGCTGTGTCCATTGTGAGGCTTACCCGGTCCCTCTGTCCTCCTCCCGCAGGTCGGGCGGGTCCTGAAAAAACCGGAGTCTCAGCGGTCAGAGGAGGAGGCCGCTGCTCTGCTGCTGCACAGAGACACTGTGGAGGAGCTCTGCAAGAGACAAGTCCGCAGAAATGTGCTCAAGAGGAAGCAGGAAGAGGTGAGACTCCGGCCCAGAGAGGCTGGCCTGCTAAGGTTGGTTTGTCAGCTAGTGGGACAACTTCAGAACAGACGTGGAGGCAGCAGGTTTCTGGGTTGATTGTGTGAAGACTCAGAGAGGTTGAATGGTAGTCGCTCTTTGTGCACAAACTGTAGTAAATACAAAAGGACTAAAACCATTCTGGTAAATGCACTGGTACTCATATAGTGCTGTTCTGCTCTAAGTGGGCACTAAAAGCTTCATTTGCCCAATCACACACATTAATTTCTTACACCTAATCACCTTTTTACACTTTTCACACATACACTCACACTCTGATGGATGCAGCAGGCTCAATTCGAGCTTCAGTACCCATGGATAAGTCAAAATGCAGACTGGAGGAGCCAGAGATTGAACCATTGGCCTCCTGAGCTACCACTCGGGTCCTCATGGACTGCTCATGGAGGAGCAGTATGAGGGCTCAACATCTACCCATGTGTGCGTGTGTTAACTCAATAAGAGTTAACACACGCACATTTGACAAGATCCTCTGTACCCTTACTGACATGTATTGACACCGCAGTACCAATATACTCTGGTTTGAGTTTGACAACCACTAGAATAGTTTATGAAGGTCAGCTGCATAGGTAGAGTCCACCCTCACCCATTTCTGATGAAAACCCAGTCATTTTGTTCTATAAGCAGGTCTGAAATATGGTAAAAACCACTTCGTTCAGAAAAGAGCTTCAAGGGTTATTCCTAGTAGGCTAAAGCAAGGTAGAAGGTAGAAAACTTCCTCTCTTAGAAGTATTTGTGGTGATTAAAAAAAGTTTCATTAAAGATCATGGTTGGGTGACAGAGTCCTCCTGCTGTTGTGACGGCGTCTTGCTCTCTCTGCTGTGAGAGGGCAGCGAGGCTTCAGAGTGAAACGTACAGTAGTTTACTGCATGATTTTAAAAAATAAAACTGCTTCTTTTGCTTGGACTTCCTCCCTTCAGTGATCATTTTACATTATTTTGTCATGGTTTAAAAAAATCAGATGCAAACCATCGTCACCGTCACTCCCTGACCCACTCTCCAGGCAAACAGTCTATTTCTGATTATTTTTGAAGCTCTAATGGTCTTCAGTACAGCTCTGATGTCTTTTTCAGGTATTTGATGGTGTTGATGAGCTGAAAAATAAAGTCAGGCAGCTCGCTGTGGCAGTCAAACAAGCCAGTCACCTGGTGGTTTACACCGGAGCCGGTATCAGCACGGTATCTTAAACTCTTCCTCTTCATTTTCGCCTTACTTTTCTTTTTTTAAACTTTCACAAAACTGACGTCGTCTGTAATTTCAGGCAGCTTCTATCCCTGACTACAGGGGCCCTAACGGGGTATGGACGCAGCTACAGAAGGGTCGGGCCATTAGGTGAGATACAGAGTCTTTACTGTGGTATGAAATATATGTATTACTCTCCCCTAGTGTGTTCTGTTTGATTTATCTCTGCGTTTCTTTACAAACAGCTCGTCAGACCTGAGTAAAGCGGAGCCGACGCTCACGCACATGTGCATTAAGATGCTTCATAAGGAAAAGCTGGTATGTCACACCAAAGTCCAAAAACATATTTGAATTTCCATTTAAATGAGTGATTAGAGATTTGTAACTTCAGTTTCAATGGTTACTGCGACATAAAAACAGCATCTAAAGACTCATCCGTTAAATCCAATAATTAAAAAAAAAAAAAAAAGCTTCAAGTTAAAAACGTTATTTACTTTTTCCAGTTATTCTGACTTATTCCAGTCATTCCGACAGAAGCTTCAAAATAACTTCCAGGATGTTCCAAAAATGACAACTTATTCTAGAAGGATTTTAATAAGGTTAGCCAAGAAAAACAATAGCTACATTTACCAGAATTTTACTATGATAACAAGCAGATGTGACACACACACCTGAAACATAATTGGCTATTTGTGTTTCCTGGTCTGGCATTGATAAGGACAGGACAGCGTTCGTCTTTAGCGTTACAGAATATTACCTCGGTTTACCCAGGTGCTGCGTCTCCTCCTTGTAGCATCTCTGCTCGCATCACATTTAAAGGCAGTGCTTCATGTTCTGTCTTTGTTTGCTCTGTGTAAAGGTTAAGCACGTTGTGTCTCAGAACTGCGATGGACTCCACCTGCGTAGCGGTCTGCCCAGACACGCCCTCTCTGAACTCCATGGAAACATGTTTATTGAGGTAAGAACCACGCATCCTCAGTTCTTAGACTTTGTAGAAAGCCTGGAAAGAATTTGCTGAGATGTTTCTAAAAACAGCATCTAAGCCTAATCCCCTACAGATCCAGACGTGTTTGTTTCACATCAAAAAATATTTCTCAGGTGCATCACGTCTTAAAAGCGCTGGAGGTTAATCTTGCCTTTCAAGAGCCATCACACACGCTGCTTAAATTGCTGCTCGACTCTCCACATAGGCCTGTTTAATGTCATTTGTGTGCTCCCATCACTGGCTGCCTCGTCATTTAGTGTCTGTGCAGTCCTGACCAAATATTTTTATGCAAATGGCAGGGATTTGCATGAGAATATTACAAGAGCTCAGGCTAAGTGATTAACTGTTAGAGGTGATCCAGACATTAAGTAAATATGTTTTTTAAAAGGATTACAGACCAATGTGAGAGGGGCCAAAATTGCTGTGAGATGTCACTGTGATGTTATTGAGAAAGATATGACAAACTAATCCCGATCCAGATATCTTTCCTGGATGCAGGGATTTGATTCATTCATGGTGTGGAGGGAATTTTCAGCCTCAGGCAAAGTTATGCAGTCTCTGACTGCTCTTATCTTTTAAAATTTCCAGGCTTGGGATTAGTAAAGGTCTCTGAATTGAGTAATTGAATAAAGAAATTTGAAATGTAGAAGTGAATTGCATCAGCAGTGTAAAGCATGCATGGATGAGTGAACACTAAAAGTTGAAAGAGTAGAAGAAGCCCTAACATTAGAAGTGTGTGCAGCAGGATTAAATGTAAAACATGAATTGATAATCATTACAATACATTTCTTACTGGCCTCAAACTCTTTATTCAGAGAGTTTAAACGGCTCTGAAACGCTGGGTTTCCCTTCTGTCGGTAGGTGTGCACGTCCTGCTCCCCGGTCAGGGAGTACGTGCGTTTATTTGATGTGACCGAGCGGACGTCGCTACACCGCCATGGGACGGGACGGAAGTGCAGCCACTGTGGCGCCGAACTGAGAGACACCATAGTGCACTTCGGGGAACGTGGGACCCTCGAGCAGCCTCTCAACTGGAGGGGAGCAACAGAAGCTGCCAAGATGGCGGATGTTATACTCTGTTTAGGCTCCAGTCTGAAGGTAGGATTTATAAAGCTGTCGGAGTCTGTAAATGTAATCTGGGTTAGGTTGCATACACTGTACAGTTTTATACCAGTTAAACAGCATGTGCCCTCAAGAACAGACATCGAGTTTGCGTAAAACTGAGCAGTCCAAACAAGATTTGAGCTCACAGTAAAGTGACGATAAACCCTAAGGCCTGATTTGGACTTCTGCAGGGAATCTTTGAAGAGCCTGCGACGTAACCTACGTATGCTGTGCCAGCCAATAGAAACAAATGAAATGCTGGGTCTATTTTCCCTACTGGGTCTCCACTTTTTGTTGTGGTTAGTTTTTGCTAGACCACATACAAAAACTGTGGTGAGAAAAGAGGGATTGATGGTAGTGAACAGATCACAGTAGTTGCGAGCTGCATTGTTACATTTCTAGAGAGCTGCATCGTCAGGTTACACTGTAGGGTTTCACGGGGGTTTGCGGTAATGGTAAAATGGTTCTTATATAGCGCTTTTCTACTCTAGCACAGTACTCAAAGTGCTTTACACAACTTGTCTCATTTAGCCATTCACACCCATTCGCACAAGCACGTTTGTCTAAGCTTTTTCTCTGTAAGTGCTTTCTGTCTAACATTCATACTCTGATGGATGCCTCTTGCCAAACGATACTTGGCATGCAGACTAGAGCAGAGCTGCGGTGTAGATTTCCCCAGTAACTCAGTCATGTGCACCTTTAGTGTCTCCTGGTTATTAATGATCCTGGAGCATTCAAAAGGTCACAGCCTCTGTTATTATTCAGTTAGTAGTTTTTTTTAAATCATATTATGATGCAAAGAAGGGTTCCCACACTCCCACACAACTTAAATCTGGGACTCTCCACCATTTGACCCTAGAACTGAAGAAGCTTCTCGGATTAGAGGTGAAATGTCTTCCAGCAACTTAAAGAAGTCCAGACGCTTTTCTTTCCAAGCTCCTTAGACAAAGGGTTCCCCTTGTCCTGCCAACTCAGTTTTCTTTTATTTCACTTGCAGGGATTTTATTTTATTTTTTACTTTATCCAACAGCTCTCATTAGCAGTTGTATTTCAGGTAAATGCAGAGAAAACGTATGAAGAACTTATCAGTTACTACTGCGAGTTAATTTATAACTACATTTGAGTTGTAATAATGGCAATATTGACTTCATTTTTAACAACACAGTACTTTAATTGTACTGTTTACATGGACAGCTAACTCCTCCTGGTTCTGGTTTTCATGCAGTAGACCAGTATATAAGTTAACGTTTACCTTAAACCTTATAATATAGTCTAAATATATGTACAATATAAAAAACCCAAATATTTATTGATGTATTTCCATTTGTGAAGAGGGAAAAACCCATTTATTCATTTTACTGTGTGTTACGTTCCCCTGAAAGGGGTCTAGGTGATGAGGGGGAAGTAACAAAATGTGTCTGGGTCAGAAAAAGGAGACAGGCAAAATGGTTAAATTAAAGAGTTTTTGGAGAGGGACGTAACACTGTGTGAAAGAAGCAGAAATCAAGTAGTAGGACAGTTAAATTCCAGCTATATGGCTTTATTAACTTTTTAAAGGAACCTCTATTTTGACGAGTGGTTTCCCTTTGTACTGCCTCTTGCTCTTTCAGGTGCTGAAGAAATACACTTCTCTGTGGTGCATGAACAGACCAGCAAGCAAAAGGCCCAAACTCTACATTGTCAACCTTCAGGTACATTTAATTTTTTTCAGTATAGGTGAAAAACATGCAGATAAATAGATGAGATGCGGGTAAAGTTCTGAATGCTCAGTGGTTCATTATGCACTGGCGTTTTTGTTTTAGTGGACACCAAAAGATGATCTGGCTGTGCTGAAAATTCACGGCAAGTGTGACGATGTCATGAGACTCCTCATGGAGGAGCTGAACCTTCAGATTCCTGCATATAACAGGTAGGATGATAACGCCCATCAAACACAGATGATGTAAATAATATTGGCTTATTGATATAAAATCTGTCATTCAGATACAGATGGAAAATTACAAAGAAAACAATTTAGCCGAGTTGTTCACTGCCCTGAGTTCTCCTCATTGTTTTTTTTTTATCAGGGCAGACGATCCCATCTTCACTCTGGCTACACCTCTGCAGCTTGAAGAGGTGCAAAGCCACTCTCGTGAGGTCGTAGCGCCTCCCAATGATCAAAATGACTGCTCAGATGACCCCGAGGAGCAGAAACCCACATCTGTGCAGGGCGGCTGGTTCGGACGAGGGTACGGCAAAGGAAGGCAGAAGAAGAAAAAAGTTGCGTGACTGACAGGACATTGTGAACTTTTTGGTCACTGCCAGCAGTTTATCCCATCAAGAGATTCAAGTTTCAGTCCTGTGATGATGGAAAGTTGGACTTGAAGCTTCTGGGGTGTTGTTTTGTAGGATTGTTTCCTTGCCATTAGGAAAATGGCACACTGCACTGAACTGTCGTGTTGTACAGCGTTGTACACTTTAGAGTGATACCTGGGTTCAGAGCAGGGTTTTGTTAAGCAGCTGCAGTTTGTTATGTTTCTGTGTTCATGGCAGCTAAGCCAGATGGGTTAGACGGAGCCAAATTTTAGCTCAGTGTGGCTAGGATGTTTTTTTTCTTTTACAAAAACTGACAAGAAAGGTCTTAAAATGTGTCAGAAAATGAGGTCCTGTAGGGGTTTGGTTTGTTTTTTTGTGAATGGATCACTTTTGACACCATTTCAGGTGTTTTAACCAGACTGGTAACGGGTGCTTCTTAGAGCCTGACTGATATCACCAATATCAGTATCTGCATTTCCCACAAACACAGCCAGCTGATCTGAGTAAAGGTGGGGGGTAAACAAGTAATTCATGGCTTACTGGAACAAAACAGAATTATTTTTAAATATTATCCTAGTAAGTCTTCATAAAAAATGACAAATGTTAGAAAAGTCTTTGTTTTTATGTGTCTGAAAGGGGAAATAATATCACCAAATATTGGTGTAGCCCCTATTCCTGCATCGGTTGGGCTCTACAGTGTCTAATTTACGCTCTGCTGGTGTAGTATGACCATGATGTATTAGAACATGGATATCTGAGGGTAGAGTACTTCATAAATACTGTATCATCAGAAGAACATGAGTGGCAGATAACAACAGCAGCTTAAGCAAAAGTCCATTTTGAATTATGCTTTTCTATCTTTTACACATGTACTGATTATAGTAGAATATATTTTTGTAGTGTTTGTTTTTCATATGTTCAAGACTTCCCTTTTTTTTAAAACATGGCATCTTTGTGTTGATGTTTATTTTGAAGGTTTATGTTGGCCGTACTTAATTATTGTGTGCTGCCCTTGACTCTGCTGTAATCCTTCCTCAGGTATGCAGGCTGGTTAGTACAGCCGCTACTGTATTACATTTGTTTACGTTTAAACTTTAGTGTGATTTTTTTTTTTTTATTATTATTTTTTTAATATTAATAAAATAAATAACTTTTGTTTACAGCATAGGAAGGTAAGCTGAGTTTTGAGTTAAATTACTGTTTGCTTAAGTGATTGGAAACAGCAGCCAGAGTCATTGTGTCTGTTATTTTATCTCAGGAAGAACCTTTAGTGTCAACAGTCTCATCATGTCTGGTATAGTGTTACACATTATTAAAAAAAGTGTAGGCTGTCTTTGATAAGCTAGTGTCGGCATTCCTAAAACTCAAACCAGTGCTAAACCTGAATGTGAAGCCTCGTTGGTTTTTGCTGTATTTCTTTTCTCTCACATGCAAAGATGTATTTGTGAGAAAATAAATCATGATGCAATGAATTTTCTTTCTGCTACCATTTGTTTGATAAAAATAAAGAAACCATATCTGATTTGGTGCTCTAACTTATCCTATTGCCTTTGTAGGTTATGTATAATTCTATACAAAATAGGAAATGGGTGCAAACAGAAATGAAAATGCTGTATCTAATCCAAAATCAATTTGTACAACTCTAATGAGCTTGAAAGTCAATATTTAGTAGGATTACTTTTATTCTTCAGCACGGCCTGAACTCTCTAAGCAAATGCTCATGTGAAGTGGTGTATGACTAATATCTTTATCCCAGTAAAATATGTTTCATGGCGATTTTGGGCAAAATTTTTCTTCCCTCAAAATACTGCTTCAATAACATTGAGGTGCAGGAGGCCAATCCATTCATCGCTGTCAAACACACTGTCAGCAAAAGTGCTCCTGGATAGGAAAACTGTACCTCTCTCCTGAGCTCCTCTGAACATACTGCTGATTGGTTAAATAAAAACAATCGTATTTGGACTCATCACTTCATCAGACCTGTTGCCACTGAAAACCAGCTTTTTCTCCATGTTTCACTTCCTTAAAATGGCTTCTTAATACAATCCCACTTCCACTGAGACCATTTCCACTGATCAATGGCCATGAGTACCATTCACAGAGAGTTGGGGGAATGGCTGCAATTGTAAGATGGCGAAAGATGTACCCTTAGTCCCCCTCCTCGATTCAGAGATGGTCTTTCCTTTTCACGTAAATGGACTCCTTGAGTCTGCCCTCAAACCAGCGTTCCTCCCTGTCCAGGATGTGTACATCCTCATCATTGAAAGTGTCCACTGGCCTGTAGGTGTAAATAGACTGCGTCCTGGCCTGACGAGGTGGCTCTTCTGTGTTGTGCCATCCGCTTCGCCAGAGGTTGTTGATCAATGGTCATGAGAATTTGCATAATTATAATGAAGGAACTGACCTCCCAGCCCATTGTTCCTTCAGTGGGCTGGTTTCAGTCATTATGCAAATGTTGTGTTTATAAGGTTGGGGAAACCTGCAGTCAGAAGAAGTCACTTGGATGAGTGACGAAACGTTTCTCCCACTAAAAACGCTACGTCCAGATGAACAGAATCAACTTTTGGAGATTTACTTACCTGGATGATTGAACACGCATCAAGACATTACACTGTAAATCTTAAAGATATAAAAAGCAGTAACGTACACAGTGAATGTTTACATGTTGATTAAATGTGTATTATCACTTATCTAGCGTGGGCGCCCTTGGCTTCTCACACAGCGGTACTTGTTACTGCCGAGGGCACAAAGTTACGCTGAACATGTGACCTGGCGCAATCTGCACGTCAGCGGTTCGATGTGACGTGGTGCTAGAGGCGTTGCCCGGGGCACCCGGTTCAGTGTAAGTCTGAGTTAGAAAACAGGAGGATTTCATTTGAAGTGTTCTTTAACGATCCAGATACTCCTAAACTTAGGTCTCTTCTCGTTTTTACTTGTTTGGCGCTGCGCTGTTTCCCCTGAGCCCACAGAGATGATCAGAAACGGTCACCACGCTACTAGCGAGCCTCGTGAAGAAGCCGACTGCACGAAACCGGGATCCTCGGCGTGCAGCCCAGAGAAAAGGAAGCGGGTGGTCCGGTTGTGGTGTGATGGCTGGTGAGTGTGTGTACCCGCTTCCAGTTCTTATTATTAGTGTCGACTTATTAAACTCTTCTCCATAGTTTATTGGTCTGATACGCTATTGTTATGCAATCAACAGCAGGGGAACAGGAGGTTTAGCATGCTATTGCTAACTAGCCGCTTGGCAGTTAGTAACTGAGCACCGGGGCTTATCTGTTACTACGATAACCAGCTTAAATAGCGTATTACGTATAGCCAATGCTACATGATGAAATGCGCAGTGTTTAAACTGCGCTAGAAGTTCAACAGAGGTGAATGCTGTGTTGTCAATAATGTTATTAAGCGTTTATTAAGGACCCCGTGTTTCACTGATAAGCTTGAGTTGTGGGGAGCTCCATTCAGAAAAGCTGGGCGTTGTTCCTGAGTGGATCATCACGTTAGACCTCTGAGCCCACCGTTTTTCTTCTCCGGTGATCATACACATGCAGAATAGCTGTTAATCATTATGGAGATGTGGACTGCTGTAAAATGAAAAGTAGCCTCGATACTTAAAATATCTAACCTTTAAAAAAATAGCAATATTGTGTTTAATTTAATATCGTTTCCGTCCTGTTGCTCTCCTCTGCTCGGGCGGCATTTTTCGGTGTCTGTCTTCCTCATGACACACATTCCTTGGTAAGTTTGGAGCTCGAGCTGCGTTTAAGTTCAGAGAAAAAGTACTTGTTTATATATGGAAGTATAGGTAAAGTTTACAAGAACAACACACGCAGTTTAAACACATACATTTGTTGTACCCCAGTAAAAAAACCGATTAATGAATAAGTAAAAGCACCGAGAGCCTGTACGAAAGTTAAAAATGTTTCGCCCGGCTTGAAACCCGAAAATCTTCTTCCTTGAATGACATCTGTGGTGAACATACTATACTGGTTTTGACTTGTGATAGTTACTAAAAGGTAATGACAGGATATCTTCCAGATGACGACGGTGGTTTTTGTTTGATTGTTAATATTTAAACGCAAGCAATTTATGATGATGTTAAACCTGCTTATTTGGCCCACCTGTAGTATATTCACTGCCCACACTTTGGTAATAACTGCACTAGCACTAGTGACTTCTCAGCTTTTGGGATCGATAAAGCATCCATGCCATCTGTCTGTCTATCCTTCCTTCCAATGTCTGGTTTTGGGTCATAGGGGAAGCAGCAGTCTAAGCAGAGATGTTCAGACCTCTCTCTCCCTGTCCACCTCCTCCAGCTCATCTGGGGACAACCCGATGCACTACTGAGTCACCCGAGCGACATAATCTCTCCAGTGTGTCCCGAGACTGAGCTGGAGCTTTCCTCAGGCACGATATGCCCAGAGTACCCTGGATGTGTCTGGAAAGAACCACCTCAAGTCCTTTCACTGTGGATGATAAATACTAATAAATAAGTATATCTTAGCTTTTCTTAAATATGTAATGACTTAATTTAAAAAAGTAATTTACAACAAACCTAAGCAAACAAAATATTTTAAATGAATGGAATTATATATAGATCAATAGTATAAAATACAATGATAAGATAAATATCTTAATTAGATAAAGACTCCAGCAAAGCAAAATAAAAACATTAACCTGCATAGAAAGTGTCACATTATTTTTAAAGCGTCTCAGTGTAACAGTGTAAAGTATAGTGACAGAGGAAGCTTGAATTAAACTGTTAAAAGTAGCAAACAGACGATTCTCTGCTCCACAGATGTGTTGCATTGTACAGAGATGCTGCACGAGGCGTGAAAGGTTTCCTGCATCTGTCCTTCTTGCAGCAGATCTGAATCTGTCTTAGAAAAAGTTTCTTCGCTGCCTTTCCAACAGTTTGTCATCACAGCTTCATTTGTGTCCAGTTTTCTGCCAGTCACAGAGTCATAAAGTCCTGGGCTATAAATAAAATAACTGGGTTTACCATTAGAGTAAACAGGTGCCACATTCATGATCGAAACCTACTGGTGCACACTTTCCTTACAGAAAATGTAAGTAAACCTACGCCCATTTAATAAACTCTGCCTGGACAGAAGTGAAACTGATTATTTAAAGGTCAGAGGAACCTCAGACACAACACCTGTGAGTTGTGTTGCCTGCGCGGATGTTAAAATATCTCTTTTTTTTTCTTTTTTTTTCGCTGCTGTCCCAGTGAGCATTAGTCATCCTTCTTTTACACGTGCACCTTTATCCCATTAGGAATCCCGTCACGAGCACCTGCAGGTCTGACAGAACTGTTTGTTTATTTTCTGATTCGATCA